TGGGGAAAATGCTATTCCCTTTGAGTTAATTATTCGAGGATTTCTCTATCGGGAGAATTGGGGTGAACAACATACCGATACTGCGATTCGTATCAAAATTGGACGAACGACGGATTATAGTATAGGCGAGTATAATTTTTGTAAAACTCCTTCAGCTTCGATATCACTCCGAATGTTCGTACAAAATTTCCACAAAATTCTTCAAATTGCCAGCTACGCCGGATTACAGCATAGGGCGTAAATGTGAATCAAATGTAAATCACACCCTCTCAATGCTTATATCATTTTTTACGACTCCTTCATAAGATGAACTTGTTTGATTTTCACTTTGCTGCGCCAACTCTTCTTGCATTATAAGTTTAGCTACTGCAAATTTGATCAGTGATTGCCTTCGCGGTGTGAGCTTTTTGATGCTGCTAGCATACCCAAGAAATGTTAAATCAATTCCATCGAAACTTCTGCCCAACAAAGGATCAATAAAATTCTCGTGCTCAACCGATGCGATACTCTTCGGGGAGGAATTTTGAAGGTTTTCTCTAGTATCTGATTCATCAATTTCTTGATCCCAACCAACTGATGAAGTATTTGCGTACTCTGACACGGCATTAGCAACTGCTTGATAAGATTCGTCGTCCACCTCTTCTAAGACATCCTCATCAATCTCACCTTTGATGTTTTTATCTATTATTTGTGGTTGGACAGTGTCATTTTTGATAAACTCTTCGCCTTTTAAATGCTCTTCTGTTCGGTTCTTTACTCTATTATTTTCTAATCTTGCGCGATCTCTTAGTCTTCTAAATTTCTTCGTGGACCTTAAAAACAGGCTCTCATCGCCATTATGATAGGTGTGCAACACATAGGTCTTAAAGTATTCCATGTGTCCTGACCACCGCCATGATTTGTAACGTGCCTCGTATTTATTGCTTGTCGTACCACTGCGAAGATATTTGGAATAACAATCTTTCAAGGTTCGCCATCTTTTTTTCGTGTCATCGACTACGGAAATATGATTATTTTGATATAAAAAGTAGCATGTATTATGAAAATTTCAAATACCTGTAACTTTAAGATCTGATGGTAAACGTTCTGTGAGAGATACCCACGCTTCTTCTTTTTCGAAGTCCTTTCCACGCGCAGCTACCTTGTCGTACAGAACGGGATAGTGTTTTATTTCTTCGATCAACTTTTCGGTAAACGTTATCATTTCAGCTGTGTCCAACATTTTGAGTAATCGATTGGCTTTATTTAAAAAAAATTAATTGAAGCGACGAACACCACAGTATAGACAGCACAAAACAGGGCTGCCAACTATCCTTCGCTATGAGGTGCCATATTGATGATAAAAAGTGCCATCTTTTTTAATCCTTCCCAGAAGCAATAAAATAAGAAACCCGTTTCTAAAACAAAAGCCCAATGAAAAAATTAGATAAGCCAGTTGAATAACCTTTTTTTTGGAACAACCTTTAAAAATTAGAAAATTTTAGTTGAGAAAAAGAAGTGCACACAAAGGATTTCACAAAAATGTATTGAAATATTACTATTTTTCAAAAGTGCCACTTTGACACTTTGCATATACAGTAATAAACCTGAACCTAGTAGTTTACCAATTGGTCCCCGAGGAGTACTTTCGGTTGTGTGCAGCATTTTCGCTTCGCGCGCACAGCAACACTTACTGTGGGGAATTTCGCCTCATGTTTAGAAAAAGATCTTATCGAGGATAAAATATATATGATTGTGTTATTTATCAACAAAATGTTGGTTAAGTATGGTATCAATGCTTAATTAAGAATAATATCAATAGTTAAGTACATAATAATTGAAATGCGTCAAAATGAAAGTAATTTCGATGTGAAGCAGAATTCTCTGGGAATACAAAACCTGTAATAATTGTACCAAGGCATGATCCAACTACACATTGTTGTAATTGGTTCATGGTACCAAGGTTTGAAGTATGATACTCAAACCGCTTGTGTGGTGAATTTCGCCCTACATATCCAACAATAATCCGTTGTAAAGAGCGAAATACACAACACAAGCGGCTTGACAAACCAAGCGAAATTTCTCTTTGCGCAAGCCATTTGTGCTGTCTATGGGGTGTTTGAAGGTTTGACAAACCGCTTGAGGGAAATTTGAGCAAAAATCAAATTTTTTTGATTTTCTGGCCGCCATGTTGACGTTTGATCAAACCGCTTGCGATGTGGATGGTAAAATCGCCTCAATTGCAACTGAAATTTCACCAAGTGAAGACGTAAGGGAGAATAATGGTAGAAAACTAAAATGTTTTACATTGTTAACCGAAAGAAAACTAAAATTCTGTGCTTGAACGACTCATGTTTGCATGGTCTATGGCAAAATGGGAAAAGTATATTTGACAAGCCGCTTGTGTGGTGTATTTCGCTCTTTAATTGTAAGTAAACTAGCACTCCCTGTGCTAGTGCATTTGATCCCAAACCCAGTGTTGCCAACTTTACAGTTTCAAAAAGCACCAAACCGTGGAAAAAAGAGCGTTTTACCGCTTTAAAAGCACTAATTTTTTTTAATCAAAGGATATTCGGTTTTCATAACAGTTTGTGGTAAACACAAGTAAAAAAATAAATACTATTTACATGTATAAATAAATACCCAATGCTTACGAAGTACTGCACATTAAAACTGTTATCTATGCTAAATCTAGTGCTTAAAGCACAAAGCTGGCAACTATGCCCAAACCGATTCCGGTTGCTTGCAAAATTTGCTTTTATAGTGTTCTCTGTTTTTTCGACCAGTTTTCTTCGCAAGGGGACACATGTTGAAAGAGTTTCGCTCTATTGCCGGACAATTGTGAACGAAAGAGTGCAAGAAGCAAGAATAGTTTGTATATGTATACTACTGTCTCAGTCAGTTGCAAAAATTCCCTATATCTTTTAAATATAGTGGTTATTTTGGTAAAAGTATTTTAAATTACCCTGCCAAGCAGGAAAAGTTCCCTGGGAAAATAGCCGTTTAAAAGAGGTGCTTCGTCATTTGGAATTTAAGTTTGGAAAGAGTAGTGATGAAGTTAAGGTCGGTGAAGGCGTAATAATACGCAGAAACCACACAAGCGAGGAGCAAGTAATTGCACCAAAGAAAAAGTTAAATTAGATAGAAAAGTGGAAAGTGTTTTGACAGAGAAGATAGCCTTTTCGTGAAAAAATTTTTATCGATATTTATTACTTGGCTTGGTTCAAGTTAAGTTTCGTGAAATTTAATTATCGAAGGTGGACAAACAAGTATTTGGTGTGAATTGATATTCCATGTAATATAAAAGTACAACGATTAAATTTATCAAAAAAAAAACTAAAAAAATCAATAAAACATAGAGGGAATTCGTTTCCCAGTCACTTTTGTTTTAAATTGCCGTTCTTGAACTCTGTGATCACCGAATTGTTCAGGTGTGAAAGTTTAGTAAAACGGCATTTGTGCACGGAGTGTTGACCAGCCATTAACAATAGTTGTGTACTTATGATATCAAATAAACCAATCCCAATAGAAAATTTATGATTGAAGCAGTAAAATTCAGAAAAATATAAACACATAGCTCAATTCGTAAATAAATATCAATACTCGACGGAAAACCTTGTGTGGTTAAGGAGCTGAAAAGGACGGTGCAGATTTGTAGAGCAGGAACATTACTCTTTGTTACGTTAGATTAAGATAAAGAAGAAAGTTCAAAAAAGCGTTTTCCTTGTTTTTGCTCATATTATAGTTACACCCATTAAATAAAGGCTGTTGTAGTAAGTGAAAAACGCAATTCGCGGTGCCCAAATTTCCGACGAAGCAAATTCGCGTGGATTGACAAGGCTTTATTCTGTAATAGTAAAAATTAAACAGAAAGTCTTCTACTCTGTGAAGTGGCTGAAAAGAATTTTGTGACGAGAATTTTCCATTCGACAAAAATTAAAGAAAATCTTGAATTGTCAGCCATTGTGCAGTCGTATACAAAACAACTGTGTATGCAGGAAACGACACCGCGACTCGCAGATACAACTGGAATTTAGTACACGAAAGAGTGAGAGCAATAGTGGTCGCAACCATTTGTCGGTTCACAAAAAAAACAAACACGAACAAGCTCCACAAAGTGAAAATATTAATTACAGTGCAAGCAGCCAAATAAAGAAGTGCAGTGGAAAGGTTTACAAAGCGAAAAGTAAGCGAAATATAGCTTCTATAACTAGCTATAACTTCTATAACTAGAGTTCCAAATCGTGAAAAAATATTTAATATATGTACATATGTATGTAGTTATGAAATTGCTTATTAATTCTATAGTTGGTATACAAGTCGTCCTCAACTTTATGTAAATCCCAAACAGTGAAAATTGGCAACGTCGCACATTGCCCTAAAATGAATACAATTGTTTTGACATGTATGCATACACACATTTGTTAAAGGTGCGGTTCAACGTGCTGTCAAAATGCGAAATCAAAAGTCTACTTTCCCGTGTAAACAGTCAGAAAGTCCTTTTTGCAGATTTGCACAAATCATTTTCGGAAATAAAAATTGCTAGGTGTAAAGGCATGGTTAAACTAGGCAATGCAAGCGGTTTTTCTACGCGTTTCGCTGTCAAAATGCGAAATCGGAGGTCTACTTTCCCGGCATACCTAAAGAATGCGGACATTTGAGCTAGTGAAAAAAGAAAAAGTGGACGTGGTGCACCCCTTGCTGCTGAGTTTATAGGTAAACTTTTTTTTTGGTGCAAATGAACAGGGGCGGTGCCAGGGGGGGAAGGGAGGGCGATGCGGTTAAACGTGGAAATTTCAACATTTTCAAAAGCTTATATTTCAAAAACTATTGAACCGATTCAAAATATGGACACCGTTGGAAAGGTGATTGGATGACCTTTCATTCGACATATATATCGATGTATATAATAGGTTTGGGGTACTGTTTATGCATTTGTACAACGATTTTGGGTTGCTGTGTCCAAACGCGTGTTCACGCTTTATTACAAAAATTTAATTTACTAAATCTGTGCACTAATTTAACAATAATGTCGGTTGGAAATATGGTATTTGTTGCAAATTTTTGTTATAAATTTGTATATCGTTTTTATATGCAAGATATTTTTACAAAACACCCAATAACCAAAATAGACATCACTGGGGCGGCAGCCCCAGGTATACGACACAAAGGGAATTCTAGTTACCTCATATTTTCCCAAGGCTACATCACTGGGCGGTGGCCCCAGTTAGTGCATACCAAAAGGAGAATTCTATTTGGTAAGGGTTATAATCCTAAAGCGCTGCCGAAGTCCGCCAACGCAGAAAGGAATTCTACTCAAAAATGCTGTGGACGCAAGTAAAAATTCTACGTTAATACGTAAGCAATTTGCAAATAAAAATAATTTACAAAAATCTCATATAAACTTTTACTGGATTTTACTGGAAATGAGTAAAAAAACGCAATTATAGATAACGAATGAAAGGCCTTTAAATTACCTTGTAAAAGGTGGCCATATTTTTGAAATCTGTTCAACAGTTTTCAAAATATAAGATTTTGAAAATGTTGAAAATTCCACGTTTAGCGCCCCCAAGCTCCGCCCTGTCAATTTGCACCAAAAAAAAATAAATATGCCGTCTTTGGTATGCAGTTTTGTAGCCCATTCTATTTATGAATAATAAAGAGCAAGTTTCAAGAGGCTAGAAAATACCGTTAATTTTTGACAAACACTAAAAAATAATAAAAAGTTTGAAATTTGCTGAAAATTTGTAGAAATTTTATAATTTTTTTCAAAGTTTGAAAAGCGGATTTATATGATGTTTGTTGTATAAATTCCCAAGCTTTTATAAAAATATATTAAACATAAAATAAACCAAAGAGATATAACCAAAACTCTTAAAAGTACGACGAGTCTATTATCTCTGCCGCCAGTGCATATCAATTTAAAAACAAAATGACTTAACGTGACTCAAATAAATGACCACCTGTTGATTCTTTAAACCCTAAAATACTAACCTTATTTTTTATTGCTTTAATACTAACGTTCGCCTGTGAGACTACTTCGAAAAAAGTGCAAATTTCGTCTTTTTAAAACCTTAAATTTATTTAAAAAATGGTCTTAAACATATTTCACATGTTTCTAACAGGCTAACCTAATATTCACGCACGCCGCCAATTTACTGTCAAAAATTTCTCATGCACATACAACTTGTATGGGACCAACCAAAATTGAACCGCGTGCGTATGAAGCTAACTCAATTTCCAATTTTTGTTCTGCGTGACATTTTGATTTTCCCGATATTAAAATGCAACCATAAGCTGCGTCACCCGGTTTTTTGTTATTTATCTTGGTTATAATTAACTTTAATTTCAATGTAGAGATTAATTTGTTGCTGTTTTATGTGAATTCTAATGAAAAATTTTGTGTTGAATCTGAACGCCAAATCGGAATACACTGGCATTCAAAAGTAAGTGCATGGCGTTTTTTGTTTAATATTTGTCAAGTCAAAATTTTTTTGTTATTTTTTTTTTTTTTTTTATAAAAATATGGTTCGTGCTTTAATCAAACGTGAAGTGGACGGGAATGAAATTTGTCTGACTCGGGAGATCCGCAGGACAATAGCTCAACTTCGCTCTGGTTATCACAGCAGGCTAAACTCATAACTGGGCAGAATCAACGAAGACGTGCTCAATCTATGCCCGGCATGCTGGGAGTCGTCACATGTCTCACGGCGCCTGCTCGCATGTCCCCAAAATCCCACACAGCTAACACCCCTGTCCCTATGGACAGCCCCTGTTGAAGTCGCGAACTTCCTAGGCTTCCCTTAGCTGAACCAGCCGGTTCTACGTACCGGAATGACTCAGGTTTTACCCGACCAAGGGCTGTTGTTTCCGCGATCTAACCCCGTTTAGGTCGGCGAAGTATATAGAAGCTACATTCGCTACGCATTCTTCTGCTGAGGGCTGGCATCGAGTCAAACCCAGGCCCAAAATCCTACACCTGCTGGGTATGCCAGAGACGACTAACTCCAACTCAGTCAAGTGCAATGCTTGCGACGGGTGGAGTCACCTCAGAATCTGCCCAGTGGACCACATCATTTGTGGCCCTCTGCTGCTCAAACAGAGCAGCCTTCACGGCTAACCCCAGTTCACCTGCGCAGCTCAACACAAACACCACAGCACCACAACACAACAACACAATAAACCACGGCAGACCACGCAACAGACGCAACCGCACCACCACCCACATGTCGCCGTCTAAATCTCCTGGTTCCTCCTACAAGCAAGACCACACACATCCCTCACACTCCGCATAACAACACGTCTCCCAAACCACATGAAGCTCCTTCAATTTAACTGTAACGGACTTCAGAGCTAGATCGAGGAGATAACCGTCTTCATGGGAAGGCATGGTATATAGCTGCGGTCCAAGAGACGAAGTCGCACAGCAATTCAACATCGACCGCAGGGATAAGACCCTAGAATGTAAGGCATTGCTATCCGGTCAGACGATGTTGAGCTCGAGATATTTAACGTGTACATACCCCCTGTCACTTTCTGCTCGGCAGGATATCACCCCGATACAGGTGCGTTCCTCAGAGGTGAAAACCGTATGGTAGTAGGTGACTTTAACGCGCACCACGATCTTTGGCATTCATGCCTGTCAAACGATCGTAGGGGAACAGACTTGGATGAGCAGATAGACGATTCGACATTCTACACACTAAACGACGACGCACCCACCAGGATTATGGGCAGCTGCTTCAGCTCGCCAAACATAACAATAGTCAGTGCTGGTCTGATAAACAGCGTATCATGGCGACCTATGCATCCTTTGGCATCAGACCATCTGCCCATAGTCATCTTTATCGATAAACCAACCGACTTTGCTTCCGCGGAACACCGGACCTATATGAACTTTTCTAAAGCCGATTGGAAAGGCTTCGCGAAATTTACTGAGAGCACCAACCGACGTTCACATTGGTGAACGTAAGTTTCGCAGGGTTGTCACTGCTGCTGCAGCTCGCTTCGTACCGGCCGGATGCATTACGGACCCTCGTCCAAACTTCCCTGCTGATATGGCTGTTCTAGCCGATGAGCGTGATAACCTTCGTCAGGCCGATCCCGGAAATCCCCGTATCAGGGATCTTAACGCGGAGATCCGCCAACTTGATAGCGTACATAAGCGGAAAAAGTGGGAAGAGTATCTGAAGAATTGTAACTTCGCCTCTGGTGTAAGTAAGCTTCGGTCAACCGTGAGGTCACTGTCCAATCCGACGAAGCAAGACGACAGGTTCGAAATTTCTTTCATGCTTCGTCGGACCCGGAGCGATGCGCGATTTTAGCCCGATATCTCTCCGAACTTTCTAGCTTCTTCACTGCAAGGAGCCTAACCCTCTCCCCTATAAAATCCTCTGCGACCTTGCTCACCACCTGGACGAAGGTGGTCAGGCTACCGCTGGGAATTCACGTCGATGATACACCAATTCCGACGGTGAATAAACCCAAAATTCTCGTAGTAACCTTCGACAGTCTGCTCTCCTTCTCTGCGCACGCAACCGCTATTGTCAACAAAGTACAGAGCCGCAACAAGGTCCTCAAGTCGCTAGCCGGCAGTACTTGGCACAGAGATAAAGAAACGTGGCTGGCAACATACAAGGCAATAGGCCGGCTGCTTTTAAATTACGCAGCACAAGTGTGTTCGCCGAGGACTAGTAGGACGCAGTGGATGAATCTGCAGACGACGCAAAACACAGCACTACGGACAGCGACTGGATGCGTTCTGATGTCGGCAAAACACCACCTGCACGACGAGGCGAAATTGCTCCCGGTTAAGAAGCACAACACAATGCTCTGAAAGGAGTTTCTTGTTGGGAGCCATAGACGCGATCACCCAAATGGGCAACTGCTTGCAGAAGAGTTCTCGCCCAGGAATCTCTACGAACTGACGGACGAAGTCCAGAGGTTCATTAGACAACTTCTGGGCCCGTCAGCTTATCGACAGGTTCTGAACGGCATTCACAAGGAGTCAGTCTCGAGTTATGCCGACTCCAGACCTGTGAATGCCGTTCTAGGCGCACAACCACCGGGCATTGACGAGACAGAGCTTCATCTGCCTCGGGAGACTAGAACCACAATAGCCCAGCTCTGGCTACTGCAGCAGGTTAAACTCATACCTGAGCAGACTAAACGCTGATGTACCAAATGAGTGTCCGGCATGCGGAGAGACACTCCATGACTCGAAACATCTGGGCGGGGTTGTTGGAGCCGCTACAACAACAACAACAAGAACGCAGATGGATGAGCTGACTAGAGCGGGATTTAGTAGCCACTACAACAACAACAACAACAACAACTATTTTACATTGGTAAAGCCCCAGATATAAATATAGTAAACCGCTGAGAGACACTTTTGACCATCGCTAACATTAAAAGTAACCCAATAAACATTGTGGCGAACGTTCGAAGACGACCTTCGATATCCAATAGGCATATTGAACTGAGAACGAACTCATAACCAAACTTAGCTTTCCAACGATAATAGTATATTGGAAATACCCACACTCGAAATGGGTTTGAAAAAAATGAAAACCATAGCCAGTGTTGCCAGGTCCCTCTTGGTCTGAAAAAAAACGTCATTTCCTACCCAAATACGTCTTTTTCAAACATATGCACCGAGAATTGTTCACACTTTATAACTTTAAACTTGTATTGTATACAAAGGTACATATGTAAGTATATATGTAAGGTATATTAAAATGTCATTTCGACAGAGCATAAAATTCATTGTAAACTGGTTTGAGATCGTTAATATAAAAATCATCTTATACATACACTTCTGATCAGCTGATTAAGTCACCAATATTTTGATCTATTGTGGCTGTTTTGCTTTTGTTTATTTAATGTTTATTATTTTTCCATGAAAGCCTACTCATTATATAACAAACAAAATATAAATCCACATTTCATTTGTGCAAAAATTATAAAAAATCTGCAAAGTTTCAGCTAGATTTTTAACTTTTTATTCGGATTTTTAAGATTTTTTTGAGTATGCAGTTTGATAGCCCATTATTTTCCAGGGTAATAATTTGCAAGTTTTAAGTTGCTAAAGAATATTTTTTTTCTCTTGTAGACATTTGGCTCGGTGGTCGGTTGTCGAAAATGCTAAATTACGTTCTGCTAAGAAGAAACATAGCAATATTTCAGCCTTTTTTGCGTTCATTACATTTTCAATGAAGTCTTAAAAAAGTCGCCTACTTTTTTCTGACTTTTTATGCTGCTACAGCTTTTTTGGTGCTTTTGAGAGCGTGCCTGTTGCAATAGATCAGCTCTTCTTGATTTGGCTTTTAATGTGCAATCGCAAACATTGCAATAAGCCTCGTAATCTCAAGTGTTTACAAAATTTGAACGCGGGATCCTTAGTCCAAGAATCCAAAAAAATGCGCGTACGCTTGGTTTGCTTCGTATTTAAGTCATTTGTGTACAAAGGATAAATATATTTTGAAGAAGTTGCTGCAAAAAACAAAGCTTGTTAAGATTTATTAAGAAAATAATTCAAAATCAGTTATACTTACAAGATTTAGTAACAGAGAAAAATTATTGGGAAGGTAAAAAACGTCATTTTTTGCACAAAAAACGTCCGAACCGCAACAAGATACAAAAAACGTCCAAATGACGTTAAAAACGTCAACCTGGCAACGCTGACCATAGCAGCAAGAGGGAACGTGAAATCCAGCTCATTCTCGAAGGGAAATGTAAGACTATCACAGTGAGTCCCATTAAAATTTCAGTTCGATAATGAGCTGGATTTCGAATTCTTAACGAAGGGAAATACATAGGATAACGAAGGTTTGCTAGAGGATAGCCTGGTTCTCGAATGGAATACTAACCTATTTAACATTCATTATCGAAGGTGAAACTTGGAAAAAAAATTTGTCTTTTCCGAATATTTTCGAATTGCTAACCATGCCCTTATATACATTCTCGATTTCCACCTCAAACAATAATTTTGAACAATTTAATTTTCTTATTTTCAATTTTATGTGATATTAAAATGCTACCTGCACCTAAATAATAAATCGTGGCCGAGGAATTGAGAGAACGGGTTTACCTTACTTGCGAATTGTTCGGGTAAACAGGTTGTAAAGATTCATATAAGTACATACATATGTACTACGTACGTTTATACGCACAAATGAATTAAATTGATTTAAAGCGCATTGACACCGTACGCATTTCGCTCTAGTATGTATACTTATGGCTTTATGTCGGTTTGATAAGAAATTTATCATTAAATTGGTTAATATTTCATTTGCGAATTAAAAAAAAAAGAGGAAATTATGGTAACACTGTCCAAATGTAATTTTGATCGAAACAGCTGATCTCCAAATCGGTTTGAGTTCGAGAGGTGTTTGTACACTCTAAGTGTCGTATTTTTTATTTTGAGAATTCCCTCTTAATACTTAAAAAATTACAAACGTACAATAAAAAAATATATATATTAATTTTCACATATATTTGACTCCTTCTTTCAGGACCACCAATAGATGTACCGCCAGAACCATCCACAAAGCGAAGGATCATATAGAAGGACTAGAGGACGAAGAAGACAAAGAAGCGTAAGCTAATGAGTAAAGTAGCTAAAGAAAGCTTAAAACAAAACAGAAAAATCAACAGACTGATTAACAATATAAAACAAAATTATATATAAAATATATGTATATGTTTATACATAGTAATATATATAAATAATTATATGTATGTACATGTAAATAAGGGAGAAAAAAGAGAAAAAGAGGATATCAGAAACACTAGTAAGCACAGAAAGAAAAGCAGAGCAGATAGTAAAACAGTAAGAAAAAAGCATTGTAAGTTTTAAGCCGGAAAGGGGGAAAGATAGAGATAACGATATCGAAAGCAGGCTAAGATTGTAGTCACGACGACAGTGCCGTCCGCTCTCTGCTCGATTGTACTTAAACGAGCAACACCAGCTGCAAGTCATCGGCGGTAAGTTGAGTGTGACAAGGAAAGGACAACACCAATGATACGGATCCCTCGTTGTAAAAGAGAGTATAAAAAAGGATAAAACGCAAACTAACGTTGATTTTATTGTGTGTGATATTTAAAATTTAAGCATTAATTTAAACGCTAAATATTGAAAAGGGAAGCCGAGTGCGCATATTAAAAACAAAGCGGTATACATCAAAAATACCAAGGATCAGAGTTCGACATTGAAAACCATAAAAAATACATTCAGCTGTAACGGGAAGAAGCAGAGGAAGCTGAAAATCAAACATCAACTATGACATACTCGCACAATAGCGTTAGTAATAATTTAAAAATGACAACAACCGCAGCAGCAGCCGCAACGACAACAATAACTCGCTTGAAAAAATTGTCGAATAGTAGTGGTGGGTGTGGTGGTGGCAATGGTGGAAGCCGCAACTCGCCTACAATAACATCAACTTCACCCGTAACTGCACATTCCAACAGTATTGCCAGCAGTACAAATTATCAATACTATTACCAACAACAACAACAACAACAACTTGTGTTGAGTTCTTCACCGCCGGGTTGTCCAATGTCGTCAGGTGCCTCCACGTCATCGAATTGCAGCGAATCGTCATTAGGTTCTAGTGGCATTGGAAGCGGCAATTCTTCGTCGCGCCTACGGAAGCAGCAACAGCGAAAGCAGCAGCAGCAGCAGGTTCAGCAGCAGCAACGCAACTCGCCCCAATCAACAAGTGGTAGTGGAAGTGATAGTGGCGTGTTCTTCAGCAATAATCATCATTATCATTCGCATCATGGCAGCAAGCGTGGTGCTGGCACCAATAAGCAACGTGACGGTCAGAGATCGCCGAACGCACAGCAGCAGCAGCAGCAGCAGCAGCTGCAAACCCGTCAATCACCAGCTGTGATACTGGGGGGTGGTGCAAATCCAGTGGTTATCAATAGTAACGGCGGCAGTGCCGGTCGGAAGCATCGCGCAAAATTTGCTATGAACAATAGCCCCCTGTTCGGCCAGGTCTCGCCTACGCAACTGCTGATACCCACCGCATTGACGCATTTCGCTGGCAGCAAATGCTTTGACGCACCGGCGCCCACAGCGCTACCAAAACCGCCGCAGCACTGGACGCTGGGCAAGGCGGAACATAAGGCAGCCAGCAGCGCTGGACCCGGCCTCCACAGTGTGACGACAGCACGCAACCCAGCACTGGCAGCAGATGCACACACCTATGGCGGTCACGTGGTTAAGCACTCGAAGCGCAACTTGCTCGACGATTTCGACACGCACAATTTAAAGTTGTTGTTAAATGTGCAATCGTAACCGTTGCGCGCCTGCCAATTATTCCACGAACAACATCATCAGCATATATTTGAAATCAATACTTAAAAGCGAAAACAAACAAATTTAAAGCTCTACCAGCAACAAAATAAATTACGTCTCTCAGTTATGATAAACACTATGGCAAGGTTGATGTGATATTCGCAATGAATCGTGCAAGAGTGCGCTACAAACCAATCTCAAATCAGAAATAATATCATTTCGTATGAAAAAACAAAAAACTTTTTAACTAGAATAACTTGAAAACAAGTTTACAATAGACATCTCACAATAAAAAAAATAAGTACATACATTAAACTAAAATGTTTGTACGTGGAAAAAACGAAGAAGCTGCGTTATCATAAAGTATGACACAAATAACAAATGCTTGTGATCTCAACTGTATAGTGAAAAATAAAAAAAATCATAATAATTTTAATATGTGGCAAATTGGCTGAAAAATAAATAATAAAATCAAACAGATAACAAACAATTGAAAATGCAAAATTCCAAATTTCAATAATTTAGTACACACATAAATAACTCACCGTATTTCTTAAAAAATGCAACTCCATATAAATTGAATTTTTCGTCAATAAATTATTTACTTCGGAAGGCTAAAGGAAATTTTAAAATACAAACAAATAATATTTACACTCCGCGGAGTAATAATTAAAACAATGGACAGAAAGCAACTGTATAAGCTTAAATACAGAACATAAAAAATATCAGCCAGAAACAATATACGTAAACACCGTACTCCGGAAAACTTAAAAACATTACAGAGAAACGCTTAAAAAACGAACTGTGTGAATTGTGCGTACCTTGTTGCTTGCAAGCCGAACAGACATTTAACATATGGAAAGTAAAAAAATAGTGAACTCCATCAACCCACCAACAGAATAAAGCAATTTGATGAAAATCTTTGAACATTAATATAATAGTGTTACAACTACAAAACAAAAGTAAACAAAATGCAATTAAAGCAATTAAGACACATCGAACAACATACATAAATACCATTTAAGCTGAGGCCACAGTTGTGAGCGGAAAGCGAGCGAGTGAGTACAGTGCAAAATTGTACGTCAAAGACAACACCACACCGTCTAGCAACAGCAGGACAACAGCAGTTGCAGCTGTAGCTGCAGACCAAACAACCCAACAAAACACCAGCATTAGCAGCGGCATTAGATGTAACTGTGAACAACATCTATCAAGTAGGAAGGAAATTCGTTTTAGAAACCAAATCAGGTTTACTCAGCAATAGCGGCACATACATATGTATTATATATCAACACATTTTGTGCAACGTATACCAAAATTTATTTTACTTACCATATAATAACAAGATTCTCATTATGTGTATTAAATTTTAATATTTTTTTTTAATTTTTAATTTGTAAAAAATTTCAACTGTAGATTGTATAATTTTTAAATTTATCTTAACACAAAACCTCTCGTACAATCGAACGTTATATGTATGTATTGTGCCAACACATCGAACTCAGATATGCATACATACATATTTATATTCCTACTTTTATATAGTTTTCTTCTATATTTTTCTGACCTAAGGTGATATTTTTATGCCAGTATTTGAAAGTTGTATTCAAGTGCGATTTTAATTATAGAAATTTAAAAACAACGAAAGTGCAAATAACTCTGCATTGAACGCGATTTTAGGCTCTCACCTTTCTAATATTGTTCTTTTTAATTATGAACACTCATCCATCGTCTACTTCCACATACATGCATATATACATACATATGTATATATGTATGACGAAACAATTAAATTTAAACTTATTTACAAACAAATTTAGAAAGTGTTGGCGCATAAATATGTAATACGTTTCTAGTACCCTACATTTAAATGCAATTGTAAACTAAACAACCCCGTATATTTATATTTATTTATAGATTTTTACCATTTAAATCACCATCATAAAATGTAAAAACTTAATTTACTTAATAATGCGTCGGTCCTCTGGATTGAACTAACCGTTTGTGTGTATTACAAACAAACAAAACTGAAGACAACTCTTATGTACCCAATGCTAATGTAATACGTACTATGTAATGTGCTATACATTTTGAACTATGTATTTGTATTTGCAAAATAATATGTAGAAGTGTATTTGCAGAAATAACAAAAACCCAAAGATAAATGTTAACAAATTTTAAACTAGCAAACTTTAAAAATTAAAATTGTTTAAAGATATACTTCCGTCATCACGAACAAATAAAAAAATAAAACAATAATAATAAAACTACAATAGACAAAAGACAAAAACCAAACGGCCGCGAGGCCCAAAAACGAAAATATGTGCTTTAGTTTATTGATGGATACAAACAAAATTTTATTCAAAGAATGTCTGCCAACAAATGCAAATGAAATGAAGAACTGCAGCGCAAATGTAATAAACAAACATATAAATTCATAAGAGAACCTGAGTCCTAAGCAAACATCAACACACCCAATTCAGTACGCCAATTTACACAAACATTAATAAAAATAAAGGAAAATAATTGAGGTTTGCTTGCGATGCATAAGCATCTTGATTTACAAAAAAAAAATGACCAACGAACCCAGTCGTTGAAAATGTGTTATTTTGAATTAAAGCTAGTCCGTTGTGCAAAACATTATTAGAAAGAGTAGATTTATGAGATTTCAAAATACGACAATTTCCGGCAATAAAATAAAAATAAAAATAATTCAATTTCGAAACAGAATTAAACAGTAAATGTGTCGTATCTAAATGCTAAAAATGTAAATCGTAAATTGCATACAACTGCCTTAAAACAGTAGCCTGATACGAGTGTGATGATTGTTTGCAGCTACAGAGGAGCACTTAAGCCCAGTACCTTGTTTTTTATAGTTCATAATAATAATTATTTTTTTTTTATCGGGGGGACGGGGTGGGAGGAGGGCGGAGGGGGGAGGGGGGGTGGATCTAAAGGATGGAGATATTTCCAGCCTTCTTACGAATGATTTATACTAAATGGAATTGTGATGGAAATTTAAGCATTTGCCGGAAACTTGGTACAACAATGTCCGACTTAAAATTAAGAAATTTTAATATTAGAATAAATATGCTTATGTTTCGACAGCCTTTGAAGCATTCGTGCTTTTGAGCATACAATCAATCATCCAGCATAGGCAAAATCAAAAATTTGGTTTAATTGCTACCAACAATAATATCAACTCAATATTTATGTAAATATGTAGTATGTAAATGCTTGCTGAAGAACTCCGCTTTATGCTGGAATGGTGGTAGTGAATGCTATTAGGCCCGAGTGCTTCGAAACCGCTGACAACAAAACTGCACTGAATCTGAACTGCTGTTGCCAATATTAGAGAATTACTACATAAGGATGAAAAAGCTAGTTGCAAACATAAATGGTAATTGTTTTGAATTTTGTGATGCTATATACATACATACATACATATGTAGATACATACATATGTATGTACGTGTGCTAGTTAGTATGTATTGATTGTATTGTATTTTGCTTACTTTTTGTTAACATTACAAATTGCCAATGAAAAATTGTAAGTATGTATTTAGCTAAGTACTTTGTGAATTTTTGTGAATGCTCCGTACAATTTAATTGTTGAACTCCGCATGTATGTATGTAATATGTAATGTTAGTGATATAAGAACAAATGTGCATTTTTCAACGCCTTCTTCCAGGAAGGGGCCAGAAAGAATCATCAAAAATATGAGTGTTTGAGGGCGAAAAATGTTAGCAGTCAACGTCCGTAAACGGGTGATCGAAAATTAATTTAAAAGCAGTAATGACAAAGTTTAGGAGATGATCATCATTTGCATGATATGAACTTGGATGAAGCGCGCGCCTCATTGATAGATACGTGTGTCTGACGTTGCTACTACACAAAATTGTTAATTTTTAACAATTCCATTGCCAATTGTACGTGGTACATGTGAAGTGCGTAAACTAAACGATGCTGATTTTATTGAAAGTTTATTTTTTGTTTTGCCTCCTACACTCCAGCACATACATATACTAAGTATGTACATATGTATGTATGTACATACCTTAATTCACCAATGCATACAAACAGAGAATAAGCAGAATGTGTACAGAGGAAGCACACAGAGGGAACATATGTTGACTTGTGATAAAATCTTAGATCTCGGTCTTAGAGCAAAGAATGGTACTTCAACAGTGTTTTTACGCACCTGAAGCTATTTTAAGTTGCTCTTCGCGGTCGCGATATTCTGATCGTCACCTTCGTTTGACGTTCGTCATGTCATTTACGGTGAGCGAGATGTTATTTATCTGCTCTGCTCCGGCCGTAATATTATTACTGGCGACGCGACTTTTTATTCACACGTGGTGCTTCTTCTGTAAACTGCCTATGTATTCTGTGATACAAAGTTATGAATCAAGTTTGAATTTGTATTTTAAGATTTTCTTTGCCGAACATACTACACAAATACATATGCACATGCCTATATACATATATACATACATATTAATGTTTAAAGATATACATACCTATATATGTAAACACATATGTAAACATGTATATATGTATATTTATGTGCATATAGACTTTTACAAAGCAAAATAATAATTGTAAACAAAATGAGAAAGAGTATTGACATCTGTCGGTATCAATTAGTGCCAGATTAATGCACAAACTTTGCAATATCTTTATCTATGAAAAAGAACATAATCATAATAAAATATAATGTTGTGGTGTATGTATTTGAAATTTTTATTTCTCTAGCAACTGTGCTATTTGTGAAATTTCTTGATTACTTAAATGTAACTCCACAATTTCTTGCTGCATTGACTTGTTTGTGTGGAAAATGAAGACGTGATATTTGAATGCAATCAATATTTTATTTATTTTTAGTTTTGTTTAATTTTTCTAAATGCGCATGAGCAGTGCTTATGGCAATTTTCACATAAAAGAGTACATAAATCAAGTAACACCATATTCTACAAAAAATGAAAATACATACATAAATACGTTAATACAAAAAATATGTATGTATATAAATATATAAATATATATACACACACACACCCATACTAAATAGAAGAACTAAGGATTTTGCATTTTTATGATGTAAGTTTTTTGTTAATGATTTTGTTAGTTGTGTAAAGTAAAAGTTCTGTACATACATACATACATATATTCCTGCTACTCAGCTTTATTCTCTATTTTATACTCTGTAAAAATAACGCTTATAAACTTAATACAGCGACTTCCCGACTGTTGTCTATCGCAAAATTATAATTTAAATGTTCTGCCTTTTAGTGATTTTCATTCAACATTTGCATTAGTGGTCGATATTTGTTTCTGTGGTCAGAAAACATTATGTAAAACAA